GCAACAGAATTGACAAAGTTAATAAATGCAGCAAGGGTGCTCTTAAACCTCCCAAGGCCACAGTGGATAGAGACTTTCCATTCCAACTACACAGGGCCCAGGTGGCTCCCAGGCAAACACCTCCAAGCCTGAGGAACAGTTACTTGCTATGCTATTCAGACAGTTCTAAAGCACTGAAAAAGGGCAAAACACTTGTCAATCATTTCAGAAATCTAGCATGACCCTGCTTCCAAATTTAACAAAGCACAAGAGAAGGGAAAAAGCTGGTGCATATTACAACTCACATCAACAGTGTGGGATCAACAGACATGGCCCTTCCCTGTCCCAGGACTGAGTGGCCGTCTGGCCATTGGCCAGAAGGAATGCATATTGTTTGGGGAATGAATTCCAACTCCCTCCCTAGCTCCTTCTTGTTCTGTGACTGCTTCTGGACCATTTTACACACCGAGGTAACGTAGTTTGGAGTCATGTGCAGGACATGTGCCTCCTTTGTCCAGGACACCTAATAACGAGCCTCAGACTAGAGAAGGCACGATCTCTCTCACACCAACCCACCTCAGTGGGTGTGCTCCCCTGTAATGTAAGCAATAAACTGCATGTCCACACCAGATGGGGTTTTTGGAGTATCATGAACACTTAAGCAGCTCCCTGGTTTGGGACTTCTGTGCTACAAGAAGGAAGAAAAAAATGTAAAATCAATGAAAACCAGAAAAGCATATGATAAAACTCAACATCAGTTTTTGAATAAAACCCTTACTACATTCCAACACAGAAGAAAAATGTCCTCAAAAAGAATCCCTGTCTCATGCCAATAGCTAAGGAGATACTTATATATTGAAAAACCTGGAGGGAGCCCATTTAAAACGCAAACAGGAGAGAATCTAAGGGCCTCCATTACAGAAGACCACTCTGGAAATTCTAACTAATACAATAAGAAGATTTTTAAAGTTCAAATAATGGAAAGGGAAAGACAAAAGAATTATTCACAGGTAATGGTTCTATTTAAAAAATGAGTTTTTCTTAAAAAAAAAAAAAGCACTAGAATAAAATACTTCAGAAAAGTACCAGTTACAAAATGAATATAGAAAAAACATCCCACATAGCAGCATTAACTCACGTGGTGCCCCCCCTTTGTAAAGGACTGTAAAGTTCATGTACAGGTATGTTCAGAAAGCAGACTGTGTACTACCACACCGAGCAGTTTATGGTGGTCTTCTCTGTCAAATGAGATTATAATAGTTTTTTTGTGTGTTCATCTGATTTTCCAAATTTTCATTTGTATTGGGAAGTAAAACTAGCAGTAGCTCAGTTCTTAGTATCTATATAAGGTTGGTAAATTTAGGACAAAAAAAAAATAAGGTAAAACAACTAAAATACTAAACTTGGCCAAACACAGAAAAGAAAAAAGTTTAATTCTTCAGAAATAAATTGTGCACTTGAAAATATCGATTTTGATTAATGTAATCTCTGATCTATGTTTACTCTTTAAGGACAAATATAAACTATGTTTTTTCTTAATGTTTTAAAAAAGATTTATTTATTCATTTTTAGAGAAGGCAAGAAATATCAGTTGTGATTGCCTCTCACGTACCCCGTACTAGGGACTGGGTCCGCAACCCAGGAATGTGCCCTGACTGGGAATCGAACTGGCAACCCTTTGGTTCGCAGTCCACACTCAATCCACTGAGCCACATGAGCCAGGGCTAAACTGTTTTTTAAAAAGGAAAACATCTTCCACATTCGGTGATTATCTATCTCTGTCTTTCCAAATAAATCCACAAGGAAATTTAGGATTTTTGGATGAACAAAAACTACTCTGTGATAAACCAACCTAGGGGGGAATAAAATTCTATAAACACTAAAAAAATAGAATTAGAATACATTTTCATTCATATCCAACTTATTTGTGACTATGCATTGTTTTAATTCACATGATAACTTCCCTATTTCATTAATAGAAGTACCAGAGACCACTAGGTGTCTCCAAGGGTCTTCTCTCATTCAATTAAGAATTAACATAATAGCCCTCACTGGTGTGCTGTCAGTGGCTTGGACATCCTCCTACAAACCAAAAGGTCTCTGGTTTCAATCACAGGTCAGGGCACATGCCTAGGTAGCAAGCTAGGTACCCAACAGGGGGTTTGTAAGAGGCAACCCACTGATATTTCTCTCATACACTGATGTTTCTCTCACTTTCTCTCTCCCCCCCCTTCACCTCTCTTCAAAAACAAATAAATAGAATCCTTTTAGAAAAGAATTAACATAATAAAAACCCCCGATTTTAATTTGATACATGACCAATTAACTTCAGGCAACACTTCCCAGCCTCCCTTGCAGCTAGATATGTCCATGTGACTAAGTTTTGGCCAGTGGAATGTGACTAAAAATAAGCATTCCCTCTCCTTTCCCTCTTCCCACTGTAATGTTGAAACAATAATAAATAAAAAAAGGAGAGAGAGCCCTGGCTGGTGTAGCTCAGTGGATTGAGCACGGGCCTGTGAACCAAAAGATCATGGCTCGATTCCCAGTCAGGGCACATGCCTGGGTTGCAGGCCAGTTCCCAGCAGGGGCCAGTTCCCAACGGGGGATGCACAAGAAGCAACCATACATTGATATTCCTCTCTCCCTCTCTCCTTTCCTTCCCTTCTAAAGATAAATAAATAAAATATTTTTTAAAAAAAGGAGAGAGAAAGTCTGGTAAGGCAACACTTTTGGAATAACCCCAGTTATTAAATTTTAAAAAAAAATGGATTAGTTTCTAACCTAGCTGAATGTTATTTTCCATGAAATGGAAGGATCATAATAAAGGGTAAACATCTGGGTAAGACTAATAAATTCACTGTTCACCTTGACTATCAAAGACTCATTAAACTGGCTTCTCTGGCAGACACTTAAAACAATGGCCACTCATTCATAATCTCAAAGCATGGTGCAGAATGTGTGCTGACTACACCAGCCAGGGCTAAATTATTATTGAAAACCTGGAGGAGGGAATAATTACGCAATAGGCAGATGATGCCCTTAAAATGTGGGCTCAATACCCTTTTGCTGTAAAATTTTAATACATATTTTCCAGAAATAAACAAAATATCCAACCAATAAATCAAAGATTCTGCCCTGGATGGTGTGGCTCAGTGCATTGAGCACTGGCCTGCAGACCAAAAGGTTGCCAATTTGATTCCCAATCATGGCACATGCCTGGATTGCAGGCTGGGTCCCCAGCTGGGACTCGTGGAAGACAACCAACTGACGTTTCTCTCACGCTCTCTCTCTCCCTCCTTTCCCCAATTTCTATAAATAATAAATAAATAAATAAATAGAGATTCCACAGCTTAGTGAACTTTGATGATAGCAAGAAAAATACATTTACCAAATTTTCTAGCAGCAGCCTGCAAATACTATGCTGCAATGTACCACTTCTCTATCATTATTTGGTTACCCTAACACGATGCTCTGAGTTTTTCATTGAATGGGGGTTAAAAAGATCATTCAAGACCAAGGAAGATAAAAAATCAATTACTTTATATCATTTATAAATAGAATCAATTTTTAATTTTTTTCACTATAAAAATGTATGACATACCTATTAGAATGTCTAAAAAAGAAAAACTGCTAAGACAATACCAAGTGTGACAAAGACACAGCCACTGGAACCGTCACACACTCCTGATGGGTATGTAACATGGCAGGAGCACTCTGTGTTCAAACATACATTTGCCCTAAGACCCAGCAATATTATTCCAGGATATCTACCCACAGAAATGAAAACTATGTTCAAACAAAAATCTGTACGTAAATATTTACAGTGGCTCTATTTACAACAGCCCAAACCTGGAAACAACACTTTTAACAACCTTTAACTAATGAATAAACAAACCATGACATAGCCCTTCTAACACAAGGCATCATTCCACACCCATCAGATAAGGCCAGAATAAAAGCGTTCAATAATACCAAGTGTTGGCAAGGCCGTAGGTAAACAGAAATTTTCACACTCAGTTTTCAGAAATGTAAATAGGCTCAAAATACTTGGGAAAACAATTTGGTAACACTTAGCAGGCTGAAGATGTGTGAGCCCTACGATCCGGCAATGCCATTTCTTAGTCTACTCTAACCCGTTTTTAACAGTATGCAACTGACACATCAATAAAATGTATAAACAAGTTCTAGTATGTTTAAACAGTGAAATAAAAAAGCAATCAAAACAATAAACTCTAGCCACTTGGGTAAGCATGGCATGAAAATACATTCCTGAATGAGCAAGTAGGTTGTAGAACAACCTGTAGAACACACATCACATGAGATCTTTAAGGTTTTAATTCATGCAGACAATATTGTATGTGAGTTTCTGGATATGTAAACATGTAATAATACAAAAGTAAAAATATGAACTAAAAAAGTTACCTCTGAGAGAGAGAAAGAGGGAAATGAGATCAGCAAAGAGGGTATCTAAAATGTCTTTTTTTTTTTTTTTAATCCTAAAGCAAAGGTAATATGTTTAAATTTATTAGGCCTGTTTATTTGGCATTTGAGTGTTCATTCTTTCCATTCCCTAATATTGGAATTTTCACAATTAAATACAAACTTAAAGACAATCTCTAGAAGGATACACAAAACACATACACAAAAACTGGTAAAAGCGGCGGCCTCCAGAGAGGGGACTAGGATGAGATAGAGGGAGGAGACTTAACGCTCCACGTCTGTCCTCATGTACCTTTCGGATCTTGTTCCATGTACATCCATTATCACCTTGAACTACCCCCTGCAAAAAGTCTACCTGCAGTATTTTACTTTAATACTTAAGACAAGGCCACAATGGAGATTCCAGCCCTGAATGTGCCAAGAATGAGCAGCGACTTCTTGGGAGGTAATTTAACCTGCCCTTCTCCAAGGGTTGTATCAATTCTTTTATTTTTTTTGGTTACATTTTATTTTATTTTTTTTTAATTTATTTATTTTAATTGTTGTTGGATTATACCAATTCTAACACACAAACTTACCTTCATAAACCAGAGATGAGAAGTTCTAACTATGCCACAGGGAGCAACTGGCAGTTCTCCTGTAACCCTGGCAGGAAAACATTTAGTCTATCACACTCCTTCCACATGACCATCTGTAGTGACTGTGTCATATCCTCTGTGGAATCAAGTGGGTAGAAATGTGCACAAATAGTTCCTATTTCTCAATACTCACTGAGGTAAGCAGACAGGAAGTTGAGGGAGCAGTTATTTGCCAACTTATTTTCTTAATGATCTAAGAAGTGGAAATTATGATGGAGAGGAAGGAGGTTGAGGATGAAACTGGGAAAAGAATTAGTAAAAAGAATGACGTAAAGAGAAAAAAAAGTAGTCAAGGGTCCAGCTGAGCCCAGAACGTATAAATGTATAGTAGAAAAAGTCACCTTGATGTCTGGTTTCTCTCCAGCAGAGTGCAACTGAAGGGGAAAAAAAACAGAAAAATTAAATAGGACTGTGCCACTGAGCAAGGTTGGCAAAGTTACAGGGCCAGAGTGAAGAAACCAAGATGACAATCTTGGTTGACAATCACATGACTCCCTGTAAAGTCCACAGCAATTAAACAGGGTAAGGAGGCACGAGGAAGCCAGAAAACACCAGTGCCTAAGGAATAAGGACCACTGGAGAAGAAATCAGAACAAGGAAGGGCAGCATGTGTGCAGAGAGGAGACTCTCCCAAGCTCAAGATCCCAAAACAGTCACCTGGAAGAAGACAAGGACCAAGACAGCTGATATGAACTGGAAGTAAAACTCCCTGGAAAAGATGGTGTGAAGGATGGAGGGTTTGGGGACTGAAAGAGCCAGCAACTTAGATGATGTATATTGCTCTCATCTTTAAACCCTAAGTCAAGGCCTAACAACAATACAGAAATACATATGCAGATGAGACAAATGAAGAGACTACAAGGCACTCAAAACCAGTGCTGAAGAAACACATCTTGTTGATGCAGTCAGTGTGCTCCCCCAAAGAGCAGCAGGGGGGTCAGCATTTCCCTGTAACTAGATACTTAAGTCCCTTATTTCTGAGGACTTCCTGCTGACACCTGAGTAACTAAGGAAACCAACCAAAGACGTGGTCACAAGGTAGACATTCTTAATGTTCTCCAAACCAACTATGTTCAAGGATTCTTAATTTACCTGTATTTCCTCACATCCTTTTATTCTCAACTCTTTCCAAGGCTGTTTTTATCTTACAATAGCTGTACTTCTTCACATTTTCCTAGGCCATCCATTCTTCCTTTTTCAAAATAAATGAGAAATATTCATTGGACCCTAAACATTAACATGTCTACAATTATACACTACAAAATACACTTGTGATTCTTGGGTAAAAAATTACTTTAAAAATCAAATTATACATATACACATATATAAATTGTTAAGAATTTTTTTCTGCCATGGCTGGTGTAGCTCCATGGATTGAGCATTGACCTATGAACTCAAAGGTCACTGGTTCAATTCCCAGTCAAGGAGCATGCCTGGGTTGCCAGCCAGGTCTCCAGTTGGGGTTATACAAGAGGCAACCAGTCAATGTGTCTCTTGCACATAGAAGTTTCTCCCTCTCTTTATCCTTCTCTCCCCTCTCTCTAACAAAAAGGCTTTTTTTAATAAATTATTTTCTTCTCAAGCTAGGGAATAAATGAAGTAACATCTAGAAAGACTGCCTATCCATCCACTTACTCATTGAACTGAATCAGAAACATTTCCAGGAAATGGGAAACCTCTCAATTTGGCAGGAAAAAATTGAAAAAGGGGAAGCGGACAGAAGCATCATCATTCGACTATGAGTACCTATTACTAGCAGTCCGTGAATGGAAGTGACTTACATTATGACATACCCCAAATCCAAAAGCTCATAAACACATTACTCGGCAGCAGATAAAGCCACCAGCCTCAAGCTGTGCCACCAGCCCCACGTGACTCCTTAGCCCTTGACATGAGGTCCGTTCAACTGACATGTGCCATATAAAATACACACCAGACTTCAAAGAGTTACTAGTGGGGGGGAAAAGTTAAATATCTCATTAATGATTTTATATTAATTATTTGAAGTGATGATATTTTTTATATACTAGGTTATAAAAATATTACTAACAATTATTTTAACTGCTTCTTTTTACCTTATTTAATACAGCCACTAGAAAATTACACATGTGACTCCCACCACAATTGTACTGGATAGCACTGGTCCAGTAATAGTGGCTACCAGGAAAAGAGAAAAGCAAATGCTATTTCAGCATATACAACCACGGTAATCGCGATCAGGCTCCATCCAATGAACATGTTCCGATATTTTGACTTCAGAAACACACATATGACACGGGCAAGGCCATATGTCTCTGCCCAACATCCAAACGCACCCTACATTACTATCCTACACAAGCAGCTGTGCAGCCCACACTTTGATGGAGAGGAGCTGGTGCCATAAATTTCTCACACCACAACACTGGGAGGAGGAGGGAGGGAGCCAGATGTGAGGACAAAGACGAGCGCATCAAAAGGGGAGTTGGAGCTCTTCCCTGGGAGGTTAAAACCAGCACTTAGAAATCTAAATAAAACACAGGGTCCGTCCAAGGGTAAACACCACTCAAATGCAAGAGAGGGCCTTTATAACTACCAAACTGCAAGTTCTGGTAATGCAGGCAAACCTAAAACAAAGTAAACCCTGTATATAAAAAGAATTATCATAGAAAGAACAGGACAGAGTTACTGACGAGATTTTCCTATACCAAACAAAAAAGTCAGCAAACTCAGACAATTTATAAACATCTGATCTGAATCCAACATATCCGCCTGTAAAGGCTGGAGTTGTTCTAATATGCTTGGAACTACCTTCATAGTAACCGTTACACAACCCTTCCTTACTTACCTTTTTATATAAGCTCTGTAGTCATCATGATACAGGGTGCAGACAGGGGGGCCCCCCAAAAAGATTTAGAAAAGTGTCCAGAATTCAAAGTGTATAAAAATATTGGAGAGACATATAAGATGTCCTCACCGCCCCCCCCCCCCCAGGGGGAAGGGATGAATGGAGCCAGGCCATTGAGAGCTATTTTGCATAGCAATAGTTTTGGAGCTAACCTCTGGAGGAATGGTTATTTAACATATCTATAACCTTTAACTGGTTTCATAGATATGTTAAATAGGAGTGGCCAAGTTTGGAGCCAGGCAGAGGGGAGAAGGTAGTAGCTGGGACTCAAGATGGGATCTATGAGCTGCTCTCCTGAGTGAGGAGGGCTTGGACTCAGAATGTAACTAGGGGCTGCGCTCCTGAGTGAGAAGGCCTGTGTGGGAGCTTGGAAAAGACTGGCTTCGAGACATGAAGGGTCCCCGCTTGGCCAGATGGGAGAGCCACGCGGTTTCAGCAGAGTGAGGACCCCCTGTTGGTGAGGTGAAAGAGGGAGCCACGTGGTTTTGGCAGAGTGTGGAACCCCCTCTTTCCCAGTTGAAAGGGAAAAACCACGCAGCTTTGCCAGAATGGAGATCCCTGCAGCCAGGTGAAGAAGACAGCCACATGCTTTTGGTGGAGTGCGGACTCCTGCAGCTTTGGTAGAAGAGGCCCACGCGGCTTTGGGGTGCCCCCTTTGGCTGCGGGGCCTGAAAAGCAACAGAGACTTTGACTGGAACTGGGTACAAAGGACTCTTGCCAGTGGACCATGAGAGGGTACCACAGTACTTTGGATTAACTCGAGATCCTGCCTGCACAGTGACACAGCTGACGGTGCCAGCGGCCTGCAACACAGACGTGTGCTCTTTTCCTGATTTACGGTACCCGGAGTTGGGACAGAGGGAGAAGGGAGCGCTGTGTGGGTGTAGGTGTATAACCTAAAGGACTTTGATATTTTAGTGGTGGCATTAGGCCTGAATAGCATTAAATAAACATTTTGTTTCCTTTTCACAAATCTCTGGCATTAAGAGATGTGTTTCCAATTGGCGGCGGACAGAAGGGCCCAGTAGATTTTAGTATTTTGGTTTTCGGGAGGGGCCCCTGTTGTATAGCAGTTTTGGGCATCCCTGGATGGGCCAAATATTGTATTGCCCCTCCCTCGGACCTCCTCTTGTTCGGTAACAATCAGTATTTACATAGGGTTTTGAAACTACCCAAGAAATATTGAACTCTTTTATTGTTACTGATCTGACTATCAACAACACAGCATTTTTATGACATGTTTAGTAATAAGAAACCAAGACACTGAGGTCTGCACAGAGTCTAAAAAACAAAAATACCAGGATTACCAGACAGCCTCTTGGAAATCAGCTGCTAATAAAATAGAAATCTTCTCTCCCTCCTTAAAAGTTTTTGATCCAGTTTATTTTTGAGTCCCTCCACATTGTGTGTGGATCAACTTCTAAAATGAGCCTGAACTGGAACCAGGCACCCTGGTCTGCAGGGTCCAGACACTGGACAGAGGGGGCACTCTTAGCCACGAGCATCCAGGCAGTTAACTATCATCTTGTATGCTCTTGATAACAAATATGAAACTAGCAAGCCTTCACTTTTCTGTTTAGTAAAAGCTTAACAGGCTGGGACTTTTACTGACAGTGTCAGAGAAAAGAGAATAAACCAATCATTCGGCCAGTTTCCTGCACTGCCACAAAAAGCCACAACACTGAGGTGGAAAGGGCATATGCGTGAAGCAATCTACCACCTAAGTGGACAGACTGGGACGACTAGAGAATTACAGAAACATAATTACCAAACTGTGCATGAGAGCCTAGAGAGAAAGGAACTCAACTGGAGTTGAGTTCAGAAATGTTCAGAAATGAACTTTGGGGAAGTGAAACCTAAGGTCAGGCTGAAAGGATGCAGAATCCCGAGTGGAAGGCCACAATGGAGTCCAGAGGTAGGCAGAAGTAAGGTGAGTACGCAGGACAGGAAAACAGCCTACACACAGCACACAGGGGGAGGTGGAGGCAGAAAAACCCCTTGCAGGGTTCAAAGGACTCTCAAAAGTCCAATGTAAATGCAACACGATGTTAGGAAACCTGAGTTCTAGGAAGGTGGTAAGAGCAGAATGAGCCCACAGATGGATAAACTGAAGATCAAGTAGCTACTGTGTTGATCCAAGTACAAGAATCTGGGCACTTGGCATGATGGAAATGACAAAGAGCAAAAGGGATGGACAGAGGGAGCAATATCGAAGAAACAATCAAATCGAAGACTTGGTGTCAAAGATGACCTCTAGGAAAAGAACAAGTGTCCTCTTCAGAAATATATAATAAGGAAATGGGCTTGTGAGACAAGCAGTGATCAAGGTCTGGACATGTTGAATTTGAACTGGTCGTGGCATGTCCATTTGACAAGTGACTACCACAGACCGCCAGAGACATGGCAGAGAAGTCCCGTGAAACAACAGAGCAGAGAGAAATGTGTAATTGAAACATAAGGGTGGTGAGTGAAACCAAGAGCTGGGAGACTATTTACTTTGCAGGTAACCCCACACAAAACTGTTTTGCCTTCACTTCTCTCATCATTAATAAATATTACTTTAAAATGTAACACAGTTTGATGATAATAGCTTTTTTAAAAAAGGCTACACATAGAATACAAAAAAATTAAAAGAAATATGCAAAAATGTTCACAGTGGTGTCATTAGGGGGTGAGATCGAGGCTATTTTCTTCTTCCTACTTTTTGGAAGTTCGCAGGCTCTATTTATTTTTTTTTAATAGCAAACACAGACTTTGTCCTAACCAGTGTGACTAGCTGGTTGGGTGTCCTCCCGCAAAGCTAAAGGTCACAGGTTCAATTCCTGGTCAGGGCACATGCCTGAGTTGCAGGTTCAGTCCCCAAATCAGTGTGTATGAGAGGCAACCAATCAATGCTTCTCTCCCTCTCTTCCACTCTCTCTAAAAATAAATAAAATCTTTAAAATAAATAAATAACAAGCAGACTTCATTGGAAAATGAAAAGTAAATATTCTTTCTTAAAAAGAATAATCCCCTCTAAGCATATAGCTGTACACCTAAACAGCAAATCTTAGTATAAATTAAATAAAAATAGCATTAACAATGCTTTACATCCACTATACTGCATAAACTTAGTTTTGACAAGACGAAGAACATGTTTATCAGTAAGAGTGCAAGTTATTGCAGTTTCTCTACAGAAGTTTGCCAATATCTATCAAAACATAAAAACTGAAACACTTTATACACTGTACCCAACAATTTTACTGCCAGGAATTCACTGTGGACAAGATATATACAAGAAATTTCATTGTAGTATTATTTCAAATAGGAAAAAAATATTTGAATAACCAAAATGCCCACCAAGCTTCGGATGCAGAAGAGGATAGAAGGAAAGAATTTTTTCAAAG